AGCGTAGGCAACACAGAGGCACGGCTGCGGCGCAGAGAGCGCGGTTGCCTACCTCGCGTCCGTCAGGCGCTACAGACCCGGCGGCGAGGCTGTGTTGTTCGGCCCATCGGGTCGGGGACAGCGGAGGGGGGGCTAACGCACAGTTATTTGCGAGCACATCCGTGGTGGGGTGGGGCGGGGCAGGGTACACAACGGGAGAGGTGGGGCCCAGTAGGGCCCCTGCATTTAAGCAGAACCGTCGTAGGCGGGGCTGGGGGCTGGCCGGGTCAACGACATATCGTTCACCCCGACGTGCATTCCACCTCCATAGGAGCGCTCTCTCTCTCTCTCTCTCTCTCTCTCTCTCTCTCTCTCTCTCTCTCTCTCTCTCTCTCTCTCTCTCTCTCTCTCTCTCTCTCTCTCTCTCTCTCTCTCTCTCTCTCTCTCTCTCTCTCTCTCTCTCACACACACACACACACACACACACAGAGGCGTTCATTAAGCCCGTGCCAACGGACACGCTCCAGGAGGCGCGGGTTGAGGCGGGCCGCAGAGTATATTCAGATGTGCAGGAAATCCGTGGGGAGGGAGAAGGGAGGAGGGAGGGAGAGAGGGGGCGAGAGGAAGGGGGGAGGTTCGTCTTTGTACTGTCCTGCAAAATGTAATACCAGGGATACGCTATCTAATATCAGCCATAAGAATCTGGTGCGGTGAGTAGTAGTAGGGTCGAAGATATTTTTTTTTCGTCCACTGTTATTTGGGCCTTCCTGTTTGCGTTCACCGAACGGCATACTCCACACAGACACACACACATGATCAAAGTTATAAGAGAACCTTACGTTTTTTTTCAAAAAATATATTATTTTCCGAAAAACCAACCATTCTCCAAAAATTTTGATGAATACTTTTGTTGCAAAAAACACAACGTTCGTTTTTTTTGTTTTTTTTAGATTTGCCACATTTTTTGTGGCGACACACCTCTTCTCCTCCAGGTTCACGAGGCTTCTGCGGCCACCCAATGATTTGTTTCCGGTCAAAATTATAGATCGGCTCCGAAGACTACAAATAACCGCTCGCACTGTCGGGGGCAGGCACTTATTGATGTGACTGCACGAAAAAAAAAGAAAAAAAGAATTAGCTAAATTAGCTAATGCATTCGCTAATATGGCCTTAGATTAGAATATTAGCTTTCCTAGCAAATTCCCAGCTAAGAAAGCTAAAATATTAGCTTTCACAGCTAGTTACTTTATTTAGTAGACAACTGGCATGGCTAATTTATTAGCTCTCCTAGCTAATTCTTGGGCCATATTAGCAAATGCATTAGCTAATTTAGCTAATTCTTTTTACTCCGTGTGGTCGCGGGTGCCGCCTTATTCCTCGTCTCTGTGCGAATAAGTCGTTAAGTGAGCGCATTAAAAACAAATCCATGATTACAGTATGGGCCTTTAAGAGCTCGAGCCGCTCGGCAGCTCACTCATACTATGGCGCCTTTTATAGATCACCTCGCGTCTGGTCTGCAACAACGAGAAGTCCGTCTGCAATGAGGTTGATGGCATCCCGGGCCGGCCCAGGCCTGGACGACGCCTCCGGGTGATAACCCCGCAGAGCGAGCTTAGAGCGAGCGCTCCCAGACTGCCCCCCCCCCCTCTCTCTCTCTCTCTCTCTC